TAAAAAACATAGACCAGGTAAGGAAATGTGGGGATCACAACATCACATGTAAGTTGAGGCTATGATGGGACCAGTATTTGAGGCACTTCAAATGCTTTTCAAGTTAGCCATGTTGAATGTAAGGCCAACACTGGCCTTGGCCTTAGTGAAACAGGAGAGAAGGAGGCAGGGCACAACCTTCGAAAGAATGACATAGCCCGAGGACATGACATAAACTGATTAGAGCCAAATGGGTCCAAGATGGAGGGCAAGTCAACTTCCACTGGACCTTGAGCCTCTGCATACGCTCACTGTAACACAGCAGCAAGCTAAATGACACACCCACAGGCGCCATGACAGTTCCAAGACCCACCAAAAGGATCAAAAAGTGGTCCCCACCCTTTCCTGAAATAGCTGGAATATTCCTCCCACTCATTAGCCTATGAAATTACCCACCCCTATAAAAACTGACAACCCCATAGTCTGGTGCCTTTCTCACCTTCTGAGATGGCCCACGCTCTTGTCCGTGGAGTGTTTCTCTCTAAATAAATCCACTTATTACCTATCACTGTGTCTCTCACTGAATTCTTTCTGCGATGAGACATCAAGAACCTGAGCTTCATTAAGTCCTGAAACCAGGTGTGTGATCTCAGTTGGAAGACTGTGGGTTTTGGCCGGCTGCATGGGTTCAAGTCCCAATCAGGGTTTTGGGCCGGGTTCGAGTCCTGGCCGCATGTCCCATTCTGGATTTAGGCTGGGTTTGAGTCCCGGCACGTGGGTTCAAGTCCCAATCTGAGGTGCACGGTTTCACATGGTTTCATTAGCACACACCCATAGCCTTGTGGGGCATCTGCAGACCCTAAGCAGCAGAGGGGATCTCAGTGAAGCAGCCTTGCTGAGGCACAGAATTGACTGTGGGGAAGTCTTTTCCTCTACAGGCCTTTTAGACATCAGAGGCAAAACAATTATTTGGCCCTTTACTATGATTTTTAGCTGGTTCGACAGGCCAGGGGCTTTAAGTCACAATTAAGTTCCACATATGCTAAGAACACAAGTGTGTAAGCTCCGAACTTTAGTACCAGCCTAGCAGGCAGCATGGAAAGGTTGTCCCAGATTCCATCCCTTATGTTCTCAGCCATACTCAAGGCCAAAGGACAAAATTGGAGGAACGCATGCATTTTTTTCCTACATGGATTAAGGGTCACTCCCTGCCTGATGGTCTGTTTTTCAAAAACTCTGGCCATGGTTTTACAGTTCTGAGATTTACACTGCAGCTTCAATTGTAAAAGAGTGGTAGGTTTTATTTATAACAAAAAAGAAACAGTGCCCTGTTACCACCAAAACATGCCATCTTCTTAGACTAAAGTAGAAAAAACATTCAATGAGATGACCACAGCCACAGAAGTTGAAAAGATAATGAGAAAAACCTAGGCCTGAACATTGTCTCAAAGAATCACATATGTTCAGGAAGAAAGGCAGAGCTTTAGAAACCTGCCCTATCAGATTAGGAGCAGTGCAAGAATGAAAACAATGGAAGAGATATTTTCTTAAGAGAAAGTTGACATCTTGGAAAACAGCTGAGAGGCAAATTGCATTTCCTCCCCACCATCCACAGTCCAGCAAAGGGCCAGCCCTATGGGTCTTCCTTCTCTCCAACAATAAAATGTTAGAAACTCAATGAGCCTTCTGGAAAGGAGTACAGGAACAGTAGAGAGAAAAACCCTCAAAGAGAAGTGCCTAAAAGCAATGCTACTCCTCACCTGACACATTCAGAAGATGAGGACAGTATCTTGAGGAAAACATAGCAAAGGTCTTGATTCTCACTGGGTCCCTGGAAGAACAAACTTCAGGACAGCAGATTCAGGTAAAAAAAAAACCTGCTGAGAATGAGTCTCAACTGAAACATGCCGGATAAAGGAACTCCACCCCCCAGCCCCCCACAGGAGACAGGTGTCCTGGGCATGAGCAACTCCACAGCAGAAGGCAGTGGCCCCTGAGGACTGCTCACAGGGGGCTAGTGAAGCTGTGTCATTAGAGCCCACCCTCAAGGCGGTCCTGGGGTGCCAGAAACACAGGACCCAAAGGGGAAATGGTATTAAGTAATTTAAATATGCTGGATGAAAAAGAAAGACATCTCAAAAATCTCAAAGAAGACCTGGTTGGGGCTGCTGCTACTACTGTAAATTAACACTGCACGAAGGCAGCACTGTCTTAAATACCACTATCTAGAGACAAGACTAGACACAGGTAGATGTCCCTCTGGATAGAATGAACGTAAGTCATAATTAACCTCTTAATGGGTGATTCTCCCAACTGAGTTCAGACTTACAAGTTCAGAGTCATAACTAGTATAGAATTACTTCAGTCCCAGCAAAACTGAATCAAGAATTTTCCAGCTTATTCACCTTCCCACAGATATAACTGAGTATCTTTTGACAGGTTTCTAGGGACAAAATTTTCCCTGCTATATCTGCTAGGGGCTGGGGAGTAATTTTGTGAATGTGAGGGAATGCTGTGATAATTTTATAGGTCCTGTCAACTATTTAGATTTTGTTGTTGCTGTTGTTTTAAGTGAGGCTTATAAGAGACTAGGTATTGAACTTGGGTAGCACACGGTTAGAAGGCAGGTGCATTAGGTTCTCACACTAAGTTATATTCTTCAACAGTTCCATCAGTATAAAGTTGACATTTAGTCTCCACCTGCCTGCCGTTCCTCTATTTCCGTTAGTTATGAGCCCCGGTTTAGAAAAAGGGTGTTATTTATTGAGTCTCCCCCTAAAATCACATCTGCCCGTACTTTCATAACATAGGCTTACTCTTGAGGATGGTCAAAGCAACTATAAAATATGGAACTAAAACCTTCTACAGTGTGTGTAAGACAGACAGACACAAAGGTGAATTAATGGCCATGGCCTAAAAATCAGCAAAATCTCTATAGCCCAAAGGTATGTAAATGAAGATCAAGGTGGGAAACAAAGTTGGACCCTGTGCATTTGGGAAAAAAGGCTAAAACTAAATGTTAGGTTAGTGGGACTTGGTAAGTTTACTCTCATCCTCTGAAGGCAGCAATGGACATGTGCCTTCTTCACCAGCCAGACAGGTAAGAAATGGACTCTCCCAAAGACACCTTGTGGAAACAAGCTGCCAGAACCACAGACCCTCCTTCCAACATTCCAGGAGTGCAACACATGTACATGCAGGCACAAAATCAGTTTTAAAAAATGTTTTTTAATTGATGACATTTATAGTTTGTTTTCACTCTTCTCAAATTCAGTGATTCTCTCCAAGAAAAAAAAAGTACCACCCTTATTCAACCTGCCACACTGTCCCTTCTCCATACCCACTGTCATCACCCTCTCCATACATTATACAACACACCACGAATACCCTCAGTTCTCATCCCCTCACCCTGGACTGCTTCAGTGGACTCCATGGTAACCCCACCCCACACCCTACCCCAAATTCCTTAGCGACATGTTCAAGGGCCTTATGACTAGTTTCCCTCATGCTCTATGTACACCTGCTTTCCAACCAAGAATCCTCCCTCACCACCCCCATATTAGCTATGCTCCTTCGCATCCACATATCCCTCTGTGCTCAAAGACTTTTTAAAACATCTTTATTGGAGTATACTTGCTTTACAATGGTTAGTTTCTGCTTTATAACAAAGTGAATCGGTTATACATATACATATGTCCCCATACCTCTTCCCTCTTGCGTCTCCCTCCCTCCCATCCTCCCTATCCCACCCCTCTAGGTGGTCACAAAGCACCGAGCTGATCTCCCTGTGCTATGCGGCTGCTTCCCACTAGCTATCTATTTTACGTTTGGTAGTGTATATATGTCCATGCCACTCTCTCACTTTGTCCCAGCTTACCGTTCCCCCTCCCCGTATCCTCAAATCCATTTTCTAGTAGGTCTGCGTCTTTATTCTCATCTTGCCCCTAGGTTCTTCATGACCATTTTTTTTGGGGGGGGGGATTCTATATATATGTGTTAGCATACAGTATTTGTTTTTCTCTTTCTGACTTAACTTCACTCTATATGACAGACTCTAGGTCCATCCACCTCACTACAAATAACTCAATTTTGTTTCTTTTTATGGTTGAGTAATATTCCATTGTATATATGTGCCACATCTTCTTTATCCGTTCACCTGTTGATGGACACTTAGGTTGCTTCCATGTCCTGGCTATTGTAAACAGAGCTGCAATGAACATTTTGGTGCATGACTCTTTTTGAATTATGGTTTTCTCAGGGTATATGCCCAGTAGTGGGATTGCTGGGTCGTATGGTGGTTCTATTTTGAGTTTTTTAAGGAACCTCCATGCTGTTCTCCATAGTGGATGTATCAATTTACATTCCCACCAACAGTGCAAGAAGATTCAATGGCTGCCTCTGAACTTGCGATTCAGCGCACACAAGTTTTTTGTCTCCCGCGTCCCTCCGACAAATACTGGGCACCAACCATGTGCCAGGCACTACCCCAAACAGAGAATAAAAGAGAGATCGAGTGGGGCCAGGCCCACTCCGGCGGCCCCGCTGGCGCGCATGTTCACTGACGGGCTGCCACCTTGAAACGCCCATCCTGTCCTCTCTGAGCCACCTCCCCGAGCAGGGCCACAGGCCTGGCCCTCCCTTCCGCCTGGGGGCGCCCGAGCCAGGCTCGGAAGAACAGCTACCGCCCGGCATAGCTTCTTCTCCTCGTCCAGTCCGGGCCAAGTGCGGGAGAGACGCAAGGGCCACCAGAAGGCGGGCCTTCCTGCTGCAGGGCCTCCTGGATTGGGGGGCACTCCGCCTCACCGGGCAAGGACCCTGAGGCAGGCTGCCCGGCCGAATGCCTGAAGGACCCCGCTTGTACCGAAGGCTAGCTATCGCAGAGCCTGGTGGCCGGCCTGCGCGGCGGGAGGATCAGGTGACTCGGACCCGAACTCCACCACACTGGGGCTCCGAATAGCTCAGAATCTAGCGTGGCCTTAGGCCTCGGTACAAGCGGCCTGGGTCGCGCAGCTGCAGGCCCAGAGAAATGGAAGAGCAGGGTGGGGAAGAGGGCGGTGTCTAGAGCTGAGGCTGTGAGTCTGGGGGGCGGGGCTTCAGGTGTTGGAAGCAGAAAGCCGAGTTGACGGGTTGCAGGTCTCCGACACGCTTGGGAGGATGAGAGGCATGGCTGGCGCCTTCCAGGAAGCAGACTAGGCGCCTCTGTTGTGGGGGCAAACGCCCAGGCAATTTCTAAAATTTATAATTCTCTAATCGAGTGACTTTTATGTTGAGCAAGTTTCTCGACCTGTTAACATTTGTTGTAAACCAAGGTCCAAGACAGGCATAACTTAGCTGGCATTAGGAAAGGAACCATATCCTCCGCTGGATAGCCCCTAGCATTCTGGTCTTGGAATAGCTGAATCAGATTCATTCATTGATTCATTCAACAAATACTGTTGAGAACCATCTATGTGCTAGGCACTCTGCATAAGTACAGAGGATACGATGGTGAGCAAAACAGATCCCTGCTTTCATAGAGCTGACCTTCTAGTTGGGAAGAGCTAACTAAAGAAAACGTGAAAGAAGCCATGAGAATGTATAACAGGGGAAGTGAACTAAGATCTAGTGGGTGAGTAGGAGGTAACCAGAGGAAGCACTTTCTGGACTGTGAAAACTTCTCAGGCAAAGGCTGTCAGGCCAGAATGTCTTGGAGCTGTAAGGCCCGTGAGGCTGGAGCAAAAGCAACTTAAGGAGTGTGGAGTTCCAGATGAGGCTAGAGAGGTATGCAGGGATAAGATCATGCAAAGCCTAGTAGGACATGATAAGGCTTTGGGGTTTTATCATAAAAGCAGGGTACACTTTGAAGGGTTAAGGAGGGAAATGATATGACTAGATTTGCATTTTTAGTTCACTGTGGCTGCTATGTGGAGAACAGATTGTAGAGGGTAGCAAGAGTAGAAACTGGGAGACCACTGAAGAGGCTGTTGCAGAAGTCCAGAGGGGGTTGATGATGTCTTGGACTGTGGTGGTGGCAGTTGAGAAGGAGAGAATTGTACGGATTTGAGATACACTGGCTAGGTAAAATTGCCAGAACTCAGTGATATCATGGATATGGAGGGTGAGGAAGGGGAGGTGCCAAGGGTGTCGCTCCCTAGATATATGGCAAAGATTCTGCTCGCTTTTGGGTTACTCACCACCTGGGATGTTAGGGAAACTGGGTTGGCTGATCTTGTACTGGTTAGACTGTGCTTAGCTTTGTGGATTGAGTGGAGCATCAAGCTGAATGCTGTAGAAGGGACATGAATAGGAGAGACCTTGGCACAGTTTCTCCGTTTGGGCCAGACCCTAGCACTGTTTTTTTTTTTTTTTTCTTTGCGGTACGCGGGCCTCTCACTGTTGTGGCCCCTCCCGTTGCGGAGCACAGGCTCCGGACGCGCAGGCTCAGCGGCCATGGCTCACGGGCCTAGCCGCTCCGCGGAATGTGGGATCTTCCCGGACTGGGGCACGAACCCGTGTCCCCTGCATCGGCAGGTGGACTCTCAACCACTGCGCCACCAGGGAAGCCCCCTAGCACTGCTTTTAATGTGATTGTCAGGCTACTTTCGGGCTAAGAATAAAGAGACAGTTGTCCAGACTCTGTCCCTATGTGTTCATGGAAGCCTTCTCTGTATTTGTTGGCAAATTTAGGGGTTCCACCAGATAATCTTTGAGACCTTAGTCCTGCAGAGATGATCAATTTCTTACATGTAAATAGAATTTCAAAGTTGGAAGAGATCTCAAGTTTTCTTAGTCCAGTTTATAAAATACTTTTATGTTCTTTATATCATCTTCACAATTATTTATTGAGCTCTTACACCATCATGATTAGACAGTAGAAATAGTGTCTTGTTCTTTTCTCTGAAGATGAATAGAATAAGACTGTATAGGTTCATTTAGTCAATAAAATTGATTAAGCACCTTTGTGCCAGGCAGTTTTAGCTGCTTCAGATACAAAATGATTACAACTTGTCTTTGACCTTGGAGTTGCATGTCTGCAAACCCTGCCATTGAGGACAGCTGAGTGTATTAAAGGGTTTGATTTGGGCGTGATAGATCCTGACTTATCTGTAAGATTAGATAAGAAATGGTATGTATCCAGCAGACTTTTTGGGGGGTATCCTGGCAAGATCCCAATTCTTGTCTATCCAATCTTCAAATTCTATAATTGATGGGAGGGCACTGTGGGAACAGTTATTGTACCCTTGTGGCTGCTCTTTAGGAATGTAAATTGTAAATCCTCTGTAAAACACAAAAGAAAGGAAGGGACAGGAGTATCGCCAGAGACAGGTCATGTTTAAACTTGAACTTCTGAATGGGTCACTCTTTCGCAGGTTTACAGTTGCACTAACCAGATTATGTGCTCCACTGGGCAACCTGAATGGCCCCTCTACCACTCCCTTCCCTCAGCCCCATGAACCCAAATGGGCAAATTAAATACTAAGTAACTGTCGTGTGCTTTATCAGTGTCGGAGTGAGAGCCCTAGTTGACTTGCAAAACTGCTCGGCTCCAGAATAGGAAGGGTGGGGAGTGTAGCACTGACGGGTCTCTTATCTGACTCTCTGATGGCAGGAGGGAGATGACCTCGATATTACGGAGCCCTCAGGCTCTCCAGCTTACTCTGGCTCTGATCAAGCCTGATGCAGTTGCTCACCCACTGATTCTGGAGGTAAGAACAAGTCCTAAGCCTCTACTGTATGTCGGAGGCATTGCTTTTGTTTCAGGTGCCATAGGGCCATTTGCGAAGACTGACAACACAGTCCTGTGCTAGATGGTGTGGAGGCAAAGTTAGAAGCCATGACTCTGACCATAAGGAGATTAAAAATCTACTGGAGGGCTTCCCTGGTGGCGCAGTGGTTGAGAATCTGCCTGCCAGTGCACGGGACACGGGTTCGAGCCCTGGTCCGGGAAGATCCCACATGCCGCGGAGCAACTGGGCCCGTGAGCCACAACTATTGAGCCTGCGTGTCTGGAGCCTGTGCTCCGCAACAAGAGAGGCCGCGATTAGTGAGTGGCCCCCGCTTGCCACAACTAGAGAAAGCCCTCACACAGAAACGAAGACCCAACACAGCCAAAAATAAATATACATTAAAAATCTACTGGAGAATTGGGACAGATATAAAATATAAGAAAGGATCCAATACAATAATAAAAACCAAACCTCAAGACAATGTACGTATATTAGTTCTCTACTAATGTGTAACAAACTACCACAAACTTAGCAGCTTAAAACAACACTCATTATCTCACAGTTCTAGAATTTAGAGGTCCAGTAGGTTTGGCTGAGGGCTGGGTTCTCTCAGAGTTTCACAAAGCCAAATTCCAGGTATCGGCTGACTGGGCCCTATCTAAAGGGTCTGGGGAAGAATCCACTTTGATACTCATTCAGGTTGGCAGAATTTGGTTTCTGTGGTTATAGGACTGAGATAGACCCCCATGTCCTTGCCGGCCTTCAGGTGGGGCCTACCATTTTTAGAGTCCACTCACATTCCTCATCACATGGCTCACTCCATCTTCAAGACAGCAACAGGGCGTCTCTTTTCTTCTGACCCACCAATGGGAAAGACCCTCAAGTCCTAGGCTCTGAAGGGTCCTCAGGGTTCTTTTGGTCTGCCTGGGTCTCCCATTCACTCAAATGGTCCCTCTGACTTTTATCTTTGGGGTGGTGTTTATCCAGGCAGTTCATCAGCAGATTCTGAGCAACAAGTTCCTTATTGTACGAATGAGAGAACTTCTGTGGAGAAAGGAAGATTGCCAGAAGTTTTACCAAGAGCATGAAGGTAGGACCAACAGTCCTCTTGAGTGGGAGGCTTCTCTATCACAAGAGAGATTTTACCTGGCCACACAATGTCAGGCTCTCTCTGACCTGCGAACCGTAAAATTGCAGCCAGTCTTCTAAAATCTTGGTTTATACACAAACTTTTCATGATTATCAGTATTTTTAAAATGTTTTCTAGGAGGGTTCTACGTCATGGTCCCAACAAGTAACTTAGTTTTATGTCCTGATACTGTCACTAGTTACCAATTTACTCTGTCAGACATTGTCCAAAGGCTCATGATTTCTTTTAATTCCCCAGCAACCCCATGAAGTAGGTATTGTTATGTCCCCAGCACACAAATTAGAAAACTAAATTAGGGAAGTTAATGATTTACCCGAAACTACACAGGTTGCAAGTTGGAGAGCCTGGATTCAGACCCAGGTATGTCAGACGCCAAGGTCCTTGTTCTTTTCTCTAAAACAGTTTTTATCATTCCAAATAGGGAGTCAGAAGTATAAAAAGTTCTCTTGGCACCAGTGTCTTGATGAAGGTACTCTCTTTGCAGGGCGTTTTTTCTATCAGCGGCTGGTGGAGTTCATGGCCAGGTATTTCTCATTTTGGTTATAACATCTTCATCCACTGAGACTTATTTCCCCTGCCCCCTAAATAGATTTGTTAATTTTATTTGCCACTCTTTAAACTTGTAACCAGTGTCAAGTGTCTGAAGAAACATGGGCTTGGGCCAACACTGACCTTGTGGCCACTTGTCCCATGGTAGTTAACTGCTCCAGGAGCTGTAGAAGAGTATTGTTGAATGCTACCTAGCAACTCTTCTGATCCCTGTGGCCTTTCTTGATCATCCGCAGTGGCCTTCCATCACCTTCTATTAGAAGCAGTATTGGCACTCAACTAGAAAGGCAAGGAGACTCTCAGGATGTCCAGTGTGCCTTTATTTGTGCTCTACTCATGGTATGCCCTCCTGGACCCGATAGCCAGATTCCTGACATGTGCTCCATTTGTTCACAGTGGGCCAATCCGAGCCTACATCCTCGCCCACAAGGATGCCATCCAGCTCTGGAGGACAGTGATGGGACCCACCAGAGTGTTTCGAGCACGCCACGTGGCCCCAGATTCAATTCGTGGGAGTTTCGGCCTCACTGACACCCGTAATACAACCCATGGCTCAGGTGAGTCTGCCTCCTGTGTCCACTGTATTTAATAAGCGAAGCTGGTTTGAGCTTGGTGGGCAGGCATATGGTGGGGTTGAGAGCCAGGTCCCTCAGTGAGCTTTCTTCCCAGTTGTGTTTCTGGCCCTTTGTGGCCACCTCAGCAGATGCGGCCCCAGGACTTAGGGGCAGGAGAAGTATAGGCTCTGGTTTCTGCACCTGATTATGATTGCCTCTTGCCTCCATCCTAAACTCCCTATGAGAACCCCTTCTCTTTTTTACCTCCCCTTACAGACTCTGTGGTTTCAGCCAGTAGAGAGATCGCAGCCTTCTTTCCCGACTTCAGTGAACAGCGCTGGTATGAGGAAGAGGAGCCCCAGTTGCGCTGTGGCCCTGTGCGCTACAATCCAGAGGGAGGCATCCACTTTGCAGCTGGAACAGGAGGCCCAGGGCCAACCTGACGCAGGCCTGTTGGTCTGTGAAGAGTGATGGCGTTGCCCAGCCTTTTCTCGCAGACCTCTGGTCCAGAGCATTCTCCTAGGACCAGGGAGGCCTGGGGCTCATTGTGCCATCTCTGCTGGGCACCGCCACCTGCATAAGAGCCTAGCTCCTCACTGCTACCTCTTCTAGAATCTAACTCTCTATCTACCTCTTCTCTGGAATGTTCATGGGTGGTTCAGAGGAATGATGGCTCCTTTTTTTCTGAGAACTGTTCATCCTTTTTCAAGGAGGGGCTTGCCTAACTGACTTGCCTGAAAAATGCAGTGACCGTATTAGCAACATTTGGTCTATTTTCCTTAATAAAAGTCAGTATTCTACTGAATCCTGCAGGCTGAGAGCACTACTCTATGTACTGTCTCTCTATCCCTAACTGGAATAATTAAATCTGTCCTGAAGTCAAGTTTCTGGTCTATGCTAAGTAAAGAGAGAATTGTGGGACTTGCCTAGCAGCGCAGTGGTTAAGAATCCGCCTGCTAACGCAGGGGACACAGGTTCGAACCCTGGTGCGGGAAGATCCCACATGCTGCGGAGCAACTAAGCCCATGCGCCACAATTACTGAGCCTGTGCTCTAGAGCCCGCGGGCCACAACTACTGAGCTCACATGCCACAACTACTGAAGCCCACGCGCCTAGAGCCTGTGCTCTACAACAAGATGAAGCCACCACAATGAGAAGCCTGTGCACTGCAACGAAGAGTAGCCCCCGCTCGCTGCAACTAGAGAAAGCCTGCGCACAGCAACGAAGACCCAGCGCAGCCAAAAATAAATAAATAAAATAAATTAATTTTTAAAAAAAAGGGAGAATCGTGAAGAAATCTCCCAGGAGGTTCACACACAGTGTGCAGCTTATGTAGTGCATGAGGCACCCAGTGACGGAGCTGACTGTGGGCTCAAATCCATGCTGTGCACCTGGCACAGGGCTGCATCCTGGAAGAAGGGGCACCTTTCGTTTGAACAAAAGTATGTCTGCCCAGTAGAGGCATATTGTCATGACTCACTTTTTTTTCTGATTTGCACAAAGCCACTAAAGCTAGCCATGTCTCTGCTGTAGCTGAGGATGACAGTTATCTATTGCTGCATGACAAATCACCTCAAGATTTTGTGGCTTAAAACAATGACTTAGAGACGTCACTGGTGGTCCAGTGGTTAAGAATCCGCCATCCAATGCAGGGGAGATGGGTTCGATCCCTGGTCGGGGAACTAAGATCCCACATGCCATGCAGCAGTTAAGCCCGCGCACCCCAACTACTGAGCCCATGCGCCACAACTAGAGAGCCCACGTGCCACAAACTACAGAGCCCACGTGCTCTGGAGCCCGCGCTCCACAACTACAGAGCCCACGCACAACTAGAGAGAAGCCCATGCGCTATAACAAAGAGCCCGCGTGCCGCAGTGAAAGATCCCATGTGCCACAACTAAGACCTGACACAGCCAAAAATAAATAAATAAATAAATATTAAAAAACAATAACAACGATTCATTCTTATGTGTCTGTGGATTGGCTGGGTGATTCTGCTGGGCTCACTGGGACTCACTCACATGGCTGCATTCAGCATTTGGGTCCAACGTGGTCTTTCATCCTGGGCTGCTTCATAGCATGGTTGTTTCAAGGTTCCAAGAGAGCAGGCCCCCATTCACAAGCTCATCACGCTTCTGCTTGTGTCATGTTTGCTGATATCCCATTGACAAAAGCCAAGTCACATGGCCAAGCCCAGAGTCCACACATAGGGCATGGACAGTGGGAGGTGTGAATCATTGGGGGCCATCACCATGACAATCTACAAACTGAAAGTAGTGAGGAGCCTTGAATTTATATAGAACTTATGAAAACAAATACTTGCACAAGCCAACAAAGGAGATGAAGAAATAGCCAGAGAAGGAAGGAAAAAACCGAGGGTGTGTGGATCAGGAAAGTCAAGAGAAGAGAGTGTTTAGATAATGAAGCAATGTTGAATGCTGTTGAGAAGTCCAGAATAATGAAGCCCTTAAAGTACCCCCTAAGTATGGCAGCATGGAGATCGCTGTGACCTTGGCAAGAGCGGCAGCTCTGGAGTGGTAGGGAGCTTACTTTGTGTGGAAGACAGTGGGTTGAAGCATTTATACTGTCATACTACCTGTGGGTTTAGAGTGGGATACCTAGGAGTCTTAGAGAAGCTTCTTACAACTGAATCTGTAAGTGTATGTCTACATATGCTCCCATCTTCTTCTATCTTCCTGTTACAACACAGGATGGGTCCTGCTTCCTATTAAGCCAGTCCTTCCATGTTGCTCTGAATCCCATCTCCTTGCTTTTTTGGTTGTCTAGTCTTTTACTGCACTTTTACCCTTCTCCACTGAGTCCTTCGCCTTTGAATTCAAACATGTTTTGGTGTCTCCCATTTTTCAAAATCATTTTAACCTCATTTTCCCCTTTGGCTACCTGTTTCTTCATCTCTGTACAGACAAGTCCATATCAGTTGTCTGCACTGACAGGCTCACCCCCATTTTCTCAGCAGCCCATTACGGTATGGCGTGCACACTCACCATTCGAGAGGAGACTGGTTGGTTTCTTTTTCTTCTTCTTTTTAAATATCTATCTATCTAGGCTGTGCCGGGTCTTAGTTGTGGCATGTGGAATCTTTAGTCGTAGCATGCAGGACCTTTTTAGTTGCAACATGTGGGATATTTTAGTTGCAGCATTCTCCCCCGCAAAGCTAAACAAAGGCCAGCTGAAAACACCAGGCAAACTGACAAGAGAGACTGATCAGGAGCCCCAGCTATCGGTAAGCAGCCAGAAGAAGCACTCTCCTTCCCTCCATTTTTCGTATCTAATCCTTAAAGCTCTGTAGCTGTGAATATTTCTTGCTCCACGTGCCCCTCAGTCCCCACTTATATGGCCACTGTAGAGACATCCTTGGTGACTGAGTAGAGTTGAAGTGACTAGAGATTTAAGTGAAGGGAATGGATGTGACTGGCAAACAGAGTGCACAGAGTGGAGGGGAGGCAGGAGAATGCTGGGACTGAAACAATCCAGCATGTGGTGGTGAAGTACCCTACAAAAGGCTGAGGGTGATCACAGAAGCTGGAAAACAGTTGAAGGAGTGTGGGGAGAGGATAGGAATAAGAAAAAGGTAATCAAATTCTGCTGAGGCTGCAAGAGAAATGAAGACTGAGCAAAAAGGGGAATTAAAAAAATATTATTGCTGGGCTCCAGCAACAGTGTCCACTAAATGGTGGGTACAGAAAAGAGTGGAGAGGACTGAGAAGTGTTTGGGATGAAAGAGTGAATAAATGGCGATTACTTCCAAGTCTGTTAAGAGATACAGTAGATGGAAAGAAAATGGGATTAGAAGAGAATTTTTCAGAATAGTAATAATTTGAACATGCTTAAATGCTAAGGAAGTAGAGTCGTTAGAGACGGATTGGTTTACAATAAATATAATTTAGAATCATTAAAATTCCTGAGAAGCAGGAGGGACTAGGACGCAAACACACTTTAGAGGAAAAGGTCAATTTTGGAATTAAAGATAGCTCCTCCTTCACTATAGGAGAGAGGCATAGGAATGCTTGCATGTTTCATTGTGGGGATGTTGGCTCTTTCTTCAGCAGTATCTCTTTCATTTGTCAAACAGGAGTCAAAGCCATCTATTGAAAGTGAGGGGAAAGATGAAATTCATAAAGCATGAAAAGGTTTGAAATAATACTTATGAAGCATGGGAAAGGGAACTGACTCATGAGACATAGGATTACGAGGCATTTCTGAGGGCAAATTAAGAACTCTGTGACCCTGTATTTGGAATATGAGTTGCATGCCTTGTCATGTGTTGTGGTGAGTTGCAGCCATGAAATGTGCAATTGGTGGAATCATCCAAGATCAGGGATTTCATGAGCAGGCTTGGTGAAAGATCAAAGGGACAAGGAATATTTAGTCTTAGCAAGTAAATAGTTGAAACAATCATCCAAGGATTAAACTGGACACAAAAAACAAATGGACAGAGAGGACAATGGAGGATTCCCACTTGGTGGCAAACCTGTGTGCACAAGAAGATATGAATGAACAGGTCGGCAGTTTGGAGATTGTGGTTGGGGTGAGGGTGTTCTGAGTTATTTGAAAGGTAGAATGTGCGGGTGAACACAGTGTTTCCTCTCAAGTTGTTTGGAAAGGAGGTGCAGGGATTAGAAGCTGGAGCTTTGGTGACAGATCGGAATTCAAATCCTGGTTCTATCACTTTCTAGCTATGTGACTTTAGCTATATTTGTCTCCACTCAATTCAGGTGTTAAATGAGAAAGTCATACTTAACTTTCAGAGTTACTGTGAGGATTAAACTAACTCATGCACATAAGGTCAAAAACCCAAGATCTCAATAAATGACAATTTAAATGATCTCTTCTTCTCTTTCTTTGGATTTCAGATAGAAAGAGTTAAGTTAATCACACTTCTCAGTGTATGACTTAATCTCACACTATTTTCCTTTGTCTATTTTAGCACATTTAATTACTGACAATGTTTTTGACAAGACTGTACAGTTAAAAGTGGCTTTCTCATATATAAACTTAGGTAATGCATAGAGATAGCTGATAGATTATGATTAGGGTAGGACACAATTCTAGTTACCACTTTACCAAGAGCAGTTGAAACCAAATGAAATCACGTAAGTTGATCTCACACTCTTTATGCTGAGGTTAAAGTAAGCATTCTTGTCCCCTGTAGGGAATGTGGAACACAGAAACGGCACCATGGCCAAAGTACACGACTGATTTCTTATGAAAGTGACTGTAATATTAGTCTAGCAGAAATAGAACTTTGATTCATTGAACCCATTAACAAAATAAAATAGGCCCTTTGACAGCTCAGACAGAAACCCAGCTCAGTGGAGTACAAAGCTAGGATTCAGGGTTGGAGGACCAAGACTGCCTGAGTCTCTCACAGTGAGAAGCCTGGATGACTGAGGAAGAAGGTTTCCGAAGGAGCAGAGGGCAGGGTAGGGCAGGGAGGGTGTGTGGCTCAAATGAGCTGGGCTGGAGGCTTAAGGAAACATGTTAGTGAGTTAAATCAAGAGTGATGGGGCTTCCCTGGTGGCGCAGTGGTTGAGAGTCCGCCTGCCGATGCAGGGGACGCGGGTTCGTGCCCTGGTCCAGGAAGATCCCGCATGCCGCGGAGCGGCTGGGCCCGTGAGCCATGGCCGCTGAGCCTGCGCATCCGGAGCCTGTTGCTCTGCAACAGAAGAGGCCACAACAGTGAAAGGCCCGCGTACAAAAAAAAAAAAAGAGTGATGGAAGTTGAGAAATTCCAGCAGTTTTCCCCCTAGAAATAGAAGCCACAATCCTCATGTGATTGAGTCCCTCTGAAAAGCATGTTATATATAAACCTCTGTAGTCCAAAGTTTTCTCACAAACAGAGATAAGTCTCTTCCATGTGGGCATCAAGAGCTACACACTTATTTGGGGTCCTGGGAGTAACTGGCTCCTCCTGTCTCTCTCAGAGCATTTTGCATAAGCAGGTGGGCTGGGGGGGGTTGGTCATCTAGTTAGTGGTTTAAGATTTTTAACTCACAGGTCTGGGAACTGTGGACAAGATGAGACTTTCATGGAATCTTTCTCCTCTTTCAGCTTTGCCTGTCGCTACAAAGGTACTATTATGGAAGACTGGGTGGTAACTGGGTTACTGGCAGTGTAGCCACAGTTGAGTGGTCTTTTTTTTCTCCTGAACTAACAGCATAGCAGGAAATGAGGGCTTATATGTAGCTAGTTTATTTTGGGAAGTGATCTCAGAAAATAAGAGTGGAGGCACTGGGAGAGTAAAACAGCGAAGAGAAAGCCAACCCAAGAAAGGGGTACTGAGGTGGTCACCACTGTGGACAACTGGCCTCTTATCTAGCTGGAAGTCCTCTCCCTCCCATCAGAGACCAAGAAGCTGGGGACCTGCCCACTGGTTTCCATCATCCATTGTTAAGCATTTCCACAGGAAGAATGAACTCCCCTGCAGGTCCAAATCTGCGTATTGCCAGAAAGGCTTCCTGCACCACATCAGTCGAGAAGCTCCTGGGAGGAACACAAGAGAAATGGACTTAAGGAGCTCTCTGATTTCACCTGGGTTCAGCAATAGCCATGGTAAGGATGTGGCCAAGAGATGGAGTATAGAAGTTGTCCAAGGCCGTCCTTCCCTGTTCATGCTTTGGTCTACGTGTAGCTCAGCATATCCCAGAGCCAGGCAAGATGCTGGTGAGCCACAATCTCTATTTAAGACTCAACATAAGCCGATTAGTGGGGAACCCCCCCGCCATTTCCCACTACTGCAACTAGACATGAGGTCATAACTGATTCTTATTATCTCCATCCTTTACCAACCATATTATAATTCCTCTCCCCAGAGTCAGCACTTATGGGTCTAAGATGCTTGTATACTGGGGAAACACAGACCTTTATCTCTAAAGCGTCTGATCCCTTACATGTTTCACCCTGATGTAAGGGTTGACTGCTGTGAGGGTCCACTGAAGGTTATCCCTGGGTATGAAGCACATCAGAGAATCCCCTGGGATCAGATGTACTCTTCCCTTCCCCTTGGGGAGAAGCAATGTCAGCAACTCATGATGATCAAGGTTGATTGCTTACATATGATAGCTCTTCGTTTTCCTCGTGGTCCACCACCATGACAAGCCCCAAATGACCCAGTTAGTCATAGCATTATTTCAGTGTATGCTTCCTGTGATGCTCTTTGGCTAAAGGATCTCCCCCTTTCCTCCTCCATGCCCCTCCCACCCCCAGTAACAAGGAAAGGGCCTTTCTAGGCACAGAAAGCACAAATTTTTGCCAGGTGCTATTTCTGCAGTGCCCTATCACAGAGGTTTCCACCTTGGAAACCTTCAGTATGCCACCTTGGAATCCTTATTCCTGAATACCAAGCTGAATCCAAGTACCACCCCTTATTAGTTGTGTGAACATGGGCAAATTATCTACATTTCTGATTTCTTCACCTACAAAAGACTGGTTGTTCTTGTTACCAACATCATATATTTGGATTTTTTCCTTGTCTCTCTTCTTTACTTGTGGACAATCCACCATGAGTCCTAAGCAAACCTCTAAATGTTCTTTTGGCAATGAGGATGTGATGCTGTGATAAAGACATGGCTTTCTGGAAGAAGGGCAAAGGATCCCATAGGCCAGTTCCAGGGATATGGTACTGGGATCTATCAGAAAATGTTCTTGCCCAGTGGGGCCCCACTGTCCTACCTCTTGATAAAAATTTATAGGCTGACTGGTGAGAGGTAGGATTGTAACAAGCCCCTAGATGTGGCCTTGACTGTTGCTTACTTTCTTCCAGGAGACAAGGGAAGAATGCTCTGACAATGGGACAGATAGCTCTGCAGTCAAGCTGAAAGGTGATCCTTAGCCAAGTGGTCTGCAAAGCTGAAGTAAATGTCAGCAAAGAAGACAGAACTTTCTGAGGAGAGAAAACACTCAGAAACCAAAGCTCCTTTGGTTGAACCATGAGGCAGCCACTTAAAAGTGAGAAATGCAAAGCCTTCCATACTGGCACAGAGCAGCATTCTCCACATTCCCTTCCTCTTTATCCCAACTGCAGCTGCTTCCAGGAGGGACCAAGCTTCCCTGTCCCCAAGGGGGACCAAAGGCCACATGCTGTTCAAGTATGCTGGGATATTTTCTTTTTTTTTAGATTTATTAATTTATTTATTATTAATTTTTGGGGGGGGCTGCGTCGGGGCTTAGTTGCGGCACGTGTGGTCTTCGCTGAGGCATGCGGGATCTTTCGTTGCAGCGCACAGGCTCATTGCAGTGTGCGGGCTTCTCTAATTGTGGCGTGCAGGTTCCAGAGTGTGTGGGCTCTGTAGTTTGCAGCACACAGGCTATCTAGTTGAGGCGCACAAGCTCAGTAGTTGCAGCACACGGACTTAGCTGCCCCACGGCATGTAGGATCTAGTTCCCTGACTGGGGATTGAGCCCGCATCCCCTGCACTGTAAGGCGGATTCTTTACCACTGGACCACCAGGGAAGTTCCTGGGGGTATTTTCAAAGAGGAGAGGTTCAAATTTTTATATCTCTGCTGGGTACAAGTGCCTAAGTCACCGTCCTACCTGGTCCTGTGGGAGGGAAGGGGGTGCTGAGTGCAGGTGTGGCCAAAAGCACTGAGGACTGCAGTGTAGAGTCACGGTGGCATGGTGGCCATGGAGCCATACAGATCACCCAGGTGCTCACTGGATGCCAGGAGGCACACAGGGAGGGGTAGCAGCACCAACCCTGGGGTGAGAACCCAGAGAAGGAAAAAAGCCTCCCTGCTGTCCCCCATGGACTCTGCCTTCCCTGGTCTCCTGGTGGCTGTGGCTTTAGCCCCTGATGTACATGTACTAAACTACTTGGATGGTCTTCCAAAAGGGGGAAAAATGCACCCAAATTCAGTTGATGGGTTTACAGTGGGGAAGGGCAGCTAAAGTGACCTTGGGAGTGGGGCTTCTGAGCTGACCCAATGTACTGTCATTGTGGCTTTCACTGCTGACTGCATAACTGATGTGATGTTTTACACGCTTGTAATGAGAATGTGCATGTGCATTTAGGGACTGTCACATACACAGAAGTGATCTGTCCTTCCGACTGGTTCAACAGACACAAGATAGAATCCCAGGAGCAGGAGAAATCACAGCTTTAAAGACTTAACGGCTGTTGGAAAACTCAGAGTGGACAAGGTCAGTGGGACAGAAAGGAAAGAGCCCTGGATTGACAGCTGGACTTCAAGAACTGGTTCATCTTCCAAAGATAAGTTCGATAGTGGGAAAACAAAATCATACCAGATACTGCATGCTGTGCAACTACTATCTCCCAGATGCAGATACACCTTCCATGTGACCATTATTTCCTATGAGAATAACTTCTAAAATTTAAAAATGATTCTTTACAGCAGATGGCTGTATGTATTTGTCTCAACCTGAAATCAAGTAAATTCATTTTCTATTTCTACATTTGCATACGTTTCACTTAAAATCAAATAAAATTTATTAAAATATAATTTAAAAATAAAATTTTAAATTAAAAATACTTTCAGTACAGATTCAGCTTGAGAATAGGGAGTAAAATAGAAATCCAGCAAAATTTGGATATGTCGAAAGACAGATATTTCTTCACAGTGTCTTTTAGAATATTCACAAGTTTTCTCACCTGTCAGCCTTCCACCACACAAAATCCTTTCTCATTAAATTGGAATCTCCAAGTTCAAACACTCTTCTACCCAAGAATTCCCTCCCATGAATTCATCATTCCACAAATTCTCCCAGAGGCTTATTTTTGGTCATATATGGCCCTGGGGAACATGAGCCCTTGAATCATCCAAGGTCAAGATGAAGAGTGGGATTCACCTGCCTAAATGAGCAGCCTTGGATGCCTAATGTGATGCTCCCTTTATCCCAGTTCTCCAGGAGCCACTTAGGATTCATCAGTCTGGGACTCTAAGGTTCTGAGAGCCCATGATCCCCTTATGACTCACAAATGCCTGGGCCTCATGGCCATCCTCCTCTCTTCCTCTCCTGAAGAGGCTTACCCTAGCGCCCAGCATCTGAATAACAGAAGCCAGTTTTGGGGGCCTTAATTCCACCTCTCACACTAAGGCCCAAAAATAGGTATTACTGAGGTCAGGGTATGAAGGGCTCTTCATGCCCTCTTCAAGATGTGGAAAGTAGGGGCAACAAGGCAAGGGAAAAGAAGGAATGATGATGGAAACAGCTGCAGAAAACCAGGACCCCTGGAATGGAGTCGAGAGATCACTCCCACAAAGCCCCATGGGAAAGTGGCTCTAAATGCAGACCCCCCTGACGTGTTAAAACTGTGCGAAAGTAGGGTGAGGTAGTAGGGGTGCCTCTATTACCCAGGGAGGCGGAAGGTAGGGAATCAGTGACAGCAACTTGAGCTGACGTTGAAAGGTTCTATCCTCACCCCCATGGAAGCTGGGAAACAAGCAGATACAGCAAGTAGCCCCTTGGGTGCCCTCTCTGGTCCCTCCCAAAGCCAAAGAGGTCCCTCCTCCCCACGGTTCCATCCTGTGGGCACTCCAGCATTAGAAGAAAATTTGGGAAACAAAGGGAGAAATCTGCGCTGGGGGACAAAGCTCAAGAAAAAGGGGCGAGGCATTTGGAGGGCTAAATGAAACTACCCCGAAAGAGACAAAGCCGAGCACTTTTGGGGTGAGGTTGAAGGACAAGGCCAGCAAGAACACAGGGGCTGCCTTGATCTCAGGTTTACTTACCAGGTCCTGCAGTCCTGAGTCTGAGATGCCTTATCACCCATCAGAAATGAGGCACCAGGGCTTCCCTGGTGGTGCAGTGGTTAAGAATCCGCCTGCCAAGGCAGGGGACATGGGTTTGAGCCCTGGTCTGGGAAGATCCCACATGCCGTGGAGCAACTAAGCCCGTGCGCCACAACTACTGAGGCTGCGCTCTAGGGCCCGCGAGCCACAACTACTGAAGCCCGTGCGCCTAAAGCCCATGCTCCGCAACAAGAGAAGCCACTGCAATGAGAAGCCCACGCACTGCAACGAAGAGTAGCCCCCGCTCACCGCAACTACAGAAAGCCTGTGCGCAGCAACGAACACCCAATGCAGCCAAAAATAAATAAATAAACAAATTTATAAAAAAAAAAAAAAGAAAGAAAGAAAGAAATGAGCCACCAGCCCCTACAGCAAAAATCCAGCTATTCCTCCCTGGCAGGAAATTCTATGAAGCCCAACAGTCCTGGAAGTGTTTGCCTCCTTTTCCCATCCCGTCTCCTCCCACAATCCTTTATTGTGAAGATCTCACAACACCTCAAGACTATCATTGCAGAGATGGGGCCAATTTTAACCCCTGTCCATGAAGGAGTGACTCCTGACTGAAAGGCATCCAAAGCTACCTGCATCCACCTGGACAGAGGTCCCCTCTGCATCTCTCCCTGATTTCTGGGCCTGACAGTGGTCTTGCTGGGCCAGACTTGTGTGCTGTCTCTACAGTTTCTACATGGAGTTTTAAGAGAAAATAAACATTTTTTTCCCATCATGTTTAAAGCAAGGTGTGAGACTATTAATTTTCCCCCTTTTGTTGCCCTATCAGAAAGCAGCTTTGAGGTCACGTGGAATGATGGTGGGGGGGCCCCCCCCTTCTCTGCTCGGCAACCACTAGAGAAAACACAGACTTCCCTCTGTGGCTTTTAGCTAAGGCCATGGGAAAAGGGGCAGCACTATGGTGGTAGACCGGGCAGTAGTGCCTGAGTTGAAGTGTGGGGGGGGAACCTACACTCCAGGTGCTCCCAGCCCTTACCCCCTACCAGGCTAACCTTGGAGACAACCACTTCCAGGTGAGAGGCTGTGGACAAAGGCATCTGGACCAACAACCCCTTTTATCTCTCCTCCAGCCCCAAACCAAGCGAGATTTTGGTGGCGGTGGTGGTGGGGGGTGTTACAAAAAATCTCTCTCCTCCCTCTCTGTGGCAAATATCCTCTTGGCAAATAAAGACACTGGGGCCTGAGTAGACAGCCCTCCAGGGTATACCCACTGACATATAGCACTAGGGCCAAGAATAAAGTTAGGTGAACACTCAGGAACCTGGGCCACATGGGCCCTGGGAATGTAAGATAAGTGAGAGTGGGTTTGGTTCAAAGGGCCTTAGAACAATTACTGAAGGACTGATGTGAGAGTGTGGCTAAAAGACTGCGCACTGAGATTGAAGGGCTCAGGAGGGGCTGTGTTTAAAAACTCTAAAACCTGGTATTGGAAGGCCAATGGTGGGGCATTGCTAGTAACCTTATCCCTGTCCTTGGAGGGCCAAATAGCATGGTTTTGAGGTTTAGATCCTGAGACTGAAGAATCTGGGGGTGTGGTTAAAGGGACCTGGGTTTGGAACTGGAGGGTTAGAAAGGAGACATGGTTAAGGAGTCCCTCAGATTGGAGGGTGAGACTGAACCCTGAGTAATACCTAAAGTGGGGTAGAAGAGGATGTATCACAAGGATTCTTCAATATACGCAAATCTATCAATGTGATAAACCATATTAACAAATTGAAGGAGAAAAACCATATGATCATCTCAATAGATGCAGAGAAAGCTTTTGACAAAATTCAACACCCATTTATGATAAAAACCCTGCAGAAAGTAGGCATAGAGGGAACTTTCCTCAACATAATAAAGGCCATATATGACAAGCCCACAGCCAACATCATCCTCAATGGTGAAAAACTGAAAGCATTTCCACTAAGATCAGGAACAAGACAAGGTTGCCCACTTTCACCACTCTTATTCAACATAGTTTTGGAAGTTTTAGCCACAGCAATCAGAGAAGAAAAGGAAATAAAAGGAATCCAAATCGGAAAAGAAGAAGTAAAGCTGTCACTGTTTGCAGATGACATGATACTATACATAGAGAATCCTAAAGATGCTACCAGAAAACTACTAGAGCTAATCAATGAATTTGGTAAAGTAGCAGGATACAAAATTAATGCACAGAAATCTCTGGCATTCCTATATACTAATGATGAAAAATCTGAAAGTGAAGTCAAGAAAACACTCCCATTTACCATTGCAACAAAAAGAATAAAATATCTAGGAATAAACCTACCTAAGAAGACAAAAGACCTGTATGCAGAAAATTATAAGACACTGATGAAAGAAATTAAAGATAATACAAATAGATGGAGAGATATACCATGTTCGTGGATTGGAAGAATCAACATTGTGAAAATGACTCTATTACCCAAAGCAATCTATAGATTCAATGCAATCCCTATCAAGCTACCACTGGCATTTTTCACAGAACTAGAACAAAAAATTTCACAATTTGTATGGAAACACAAAAGACCCCGAATAGCCAAAGCAATCTTGAGAACGAAAAACGGAGCTGGAGGAATCAGGCTCCCTGGCTTCAGACTATACTACAAAGCTACAGTAATCAAGACAGTATGGTACTGGCACAAAAACAGAAAGATAGATCAATGGAAGAGGATAGAAAGCCCAGAGATAAACCCACACACATATGGACACCTTATCTTTGATAAAGGTGGCAGGAATATACAGTGGAGAAAGGACAGCCTCTTCAATAAGTGGTGCCGGGAAAACTGGACAGGTACATGTAAAAGTATGAGATTAGATCACTCCCTAACACCATACACAAAAGTAAGCTCAAAATGGATTAAAGACCTAAATGTAAGGCCAGAAACTATCAAACTCTTAGGGGAAAACATACGCAGAACACTCTATGACATAAATCACAGCAAGATCCTTTCTGACCCACCTCCTAGAGAAATGGAAATAAAAACAAAAATAAACAAATGGGACCTAATGAAACTTCAAAGCTTTTGCACAGCAAAGGAAACCATAAACCAGACCAAAAGACAACCCTCAGAATGGGAGAAAATATTTGCAAATGAAGCAACTGACAAAGGATTAATCTCCAAAATTTACAAGCAGCTCATGCAGCTCAATAACAAAAAAACAAACAACCCAATCCAAAAATGGGCAGAAGACCTAAACAGACATTTCTCCAAAGAAGATATACAGATTGCCAACAAACACATGAAAGAATGCTCAACATCATTAATCATTAGAGAAATGCAAATCAAAACTACAATGAGATATCATCTCGCACCAGTCAGAATGGCCATCATAAAAAAATCTAGAAACAATAAATGCTGGAGAGGGTGTGGAGAAAAGGGACACTCTTGCACTGCTGGTGGGAAAGTGAATTGGTACAGCCACTGTGGAGAACAGTATGGAGGTTCCTTAAAAAACTACAAATAGAACTACCATATGACCCAGCAATCCCACTACTGGGCATGTACCCTGAGAAAACCAAAATTCAAAAAGAGTCATGTACCAAAATGTTCGTTGCAGCTCTATTTACAATAGCCTGGAGACGGAAACAACCTAAGTGCCCATCATGGATGAATGGATAAAGAAGATGTGGCATATATATACAATGGAATATTACTCAGCCATAAAAAGAAACAAAATTGAGGTATTTGTAATGAGGTGGACAGACCTAGAGTCTGTCATACAGAGTGAAGTAAGTCAGAAAGAGAAATACAAATACTGTATGCTAACACATATATATGGAATTTAAGAAAAAAAATGTCATGAAGAACCTAGGGGTAAGACAGGAATAAAGACACAGACCTACTGGAGAATGGATTTGAGGATATGGGGAGGGGGAAGGGTGAGCTGTGACAGAGCGAGAGAGAGGCATGGACATATATACACTAACAAACGTAAGGTAGATAGCTAGTGGGAAGCAGCCGCATGGCACAGGGATATCAGCTCGGTGCTTTATGACCGCCTGGAGGGGTGGGATAGGGAGGGTGGGAGGGAGGGAGACGCAAGAGGGAAGAGATATGGGAACATATGTATAACTGATTCACTTTGTTATAAAGCAGAAACTAACACACCATTGTAAAGCAATTATACCCCAATAAAGATGTTAAAAAAAAAAAAAGAGGATGCATCAAAGGCTAGAGATGTAGACAAAAATAGAACAGGAAAGAGTCATAGAAGCCAATAGAAGGACACAGCTGAAGAAGGAAGTAGGTAGAAGCAAAGACCACTTCTCCAAGAGGACCGTCACTTGGTACCTCTGTTCTCAGAGGCTAGACCTCTGCCATCTTCATACTCACAGAGGGTGTAAGGGGTCAGAAGACTGTCCCTGAAGCCCTCGCAGAGCTCTAGCAGGGTGGTAATGGATGGTGGAGAGATTTGACTCCCAGTGTTTCTTATGAGGTCACCTCTAGCTAACACCTTACCCTCACTCCCTGTCAGGCTTCTCCCTGAGCATGTCCTCTGCTCTGTGATAAGAAGTGATGTCCAGCTAAAGCCTCACCCACACTACCTCACAATCAAGGCTTCTCCCTTGACTGTGCCCTCTGATGTGGCTGACAACTGACTTGTTGCTAAAGTCATACCCTCACTCCTCGCACACCTAAGGCTTTTCCCTGAGTGTGTTCTCTGGTGTCTGATGAGGGCTGACTTATGGCTAAAGCCTTGCCCACATTCCCTGCACACATAAGACTTTTCCCCTGAGTGCACCCTCTGATGCATGCTGAGAGCTGACTTGTGGCTGAAGTCTCGCCCACATACCCTGCAACTCGTAAGGCTTCTCTCCTGTGGGTGTCCTCTGGTGTGTGTTTAGGATTATCTTGTGGCTAACACCCCACCCACACTCCCTGCAAACAAAAGGCTTCTCATCTGAACGTGTCCTGTGGTGTGTGATGAGGTGTGATTTCACCCTAAAGCCTTGGCTACAGTTCCTGCACACATAAGGCTTATCCCCTGTGTGAATCCTCTGGTGCTTAATGACGTCCGACTTTTCACTAATGCCTCGCCCACATATCATGCAAAGGGCTTCTCCCTTGTGTGTGTGTGACTTGTGGCTAAAAGCTTGCCCACACTTCCCTGCATACATAAAGCTTCTCACCTGAGTGTGTACTCTGGTGGTTGTAGAGGGGTGACATCTATAAAGCCTTGCCCACAACTCCCCACATATATAAGGCTTTTCCCCCGTGTGTCCTCTGAGGTCTGTTGAGATGTGACTTCCTGCTAAAGCTTCACCCACACTTTCTGCACAGGAGATATCTCCATTCGTGACAGCCTGTGTCTGAAGAGGTTTGACTTCTGGCTAAAACCTAGTCCACACCTCTAAACCTGACTGCTCCAAATCCTGAGAGTTCTACCCTCTCAGGAATGTTGTCTGCTTCCCCAGAGCTTACCCGCTGGGCTGGACTGAGCTGTACCTTCAACACTTTGTTGCCTCCCTGAGAGCTTACTGGTGGTCCCTGGGGTGGGCTAGAGAAAACCACTTAAGTCCCCTTCTCATTTGTACTCCAAAACAAAGGTGTAGATCCCATTCCTTGATCTTCTGCTTTGGCCCCCCAGTGGTTTTTATCAGAATGTTGTTGCTGCCGCTGCTGGTGGTCATTTGGGCAAGGATCCCCTGGTTGGAGTTGATTTCCTGCATATGAATATGGAATAAGATGACTGCAGAGCTCATGGTGGCTGAGAAATTGCTGACCGTCAAAGGCCAGAGGGCAGAAGGCAAAGGGGCCAGGGATGGACTTCTGGCTTTGAATCTGCTGAAGAAAGAAAGTTTTCAGTCAAAGTAGTCAGAGGAAGGGCTCGCTGGGCTTTTCTTCCTTGTCTCATAGTAAGATCTGGCCCATTAATCATTCACAGCCGTTAATGTCTGTCTCTCCAAGACATGCTTCACCAGACCTATATTTCCATTCAACTTCTTTTGACTTTTTATTTGGAAATAATTTCAAATGTACAGAAAAGGTGCAAGAATAAGGACAATACAAAGAACAGCTGTATACCCTTTACCCTAATTACCTACTGCTAACATTTGTATGTTATGTATGTATATGTGTGTATACATATATGTATATATATTTTTTTTATTTGAATCATTTGAGAGTAAACTGCATACATCAATGCCCTTTACCCCTAAATACTTCAGTGTGTGTCTCATAAAAGTAGGGATATTCACTTTTTTTTTTTTTTTGCGGTACGCGGGCCTCTCACTGTTGTGGCCTCTCCCGTTGCGGAGCACAGGCTCTGGACGCGCAGGCTCAACGGCCATGGCTCACGGGCCTAGATGCTCCGCGGCATGCGGGATCTTCCCGGATCGGGGCAGGAACCCGTGTCCCCTGCTTCGGCAGGCGGACTCTCAACCACTTCGCCACCAGGGAAGCCCGGGATATTCACTTTCATAACCACAATACAGTTATCAACTCTGGTAAATTTTTTTTTAAATAAATTTATTTATTTATTTTTGGCTGCGTTGGGTCTTCGTTGCTGCATGCGGGCTTTCTCTAGTTGAGGCAAGTGAGGGCTACTCTTCATTGTGGTGCACGGGCTTCTCATTGCAGTGGCTTCTCTTGTGGAGCACAGGCTCTAGGCGCACAGGCTTCAGTAGTTGTGGCACATGGGCTCAGTAGTTGTGGCTTGTGGGCTCTAGAGCACAGGCTCAGTAGTTGTGGTGCATGGGCTTAGTTGTTCCACGGCATGTGGGATCTTCCCAGACCAAGGATCGAACCTGTGTCCCCTCCATTGGCAGGTGGATTCTTAACCACTGTGCCATCAGGGAAGTCCTCGGCATTGACTTTTTTTTTTTTTTTTTGCGTTACGCGGGCCTCTCACTGTTGTGGCCTCTCCCGTTGCAGACGTGCAGGCTCAGCGGCCATGGCTCACAGGCCCAGCCGCTCCGTGGCATGTGGGATCTTCCCGGACCGGGGCACGAACCCGTGTTCCCTGCATCGGCAGGCGGACTCTCAACCACTGCGCCACCAGGGAAGCCCTCGTTATTGACTTTTAAAGGGAGAGATGATGAGATCTGCTGGAGGACTGCAGTCATGGGGTGGGAGAGAAAGAGGACTTGAGGATGACTTCATGGTCTGAGAAACTGAATAAGCTGAACTGCTGTTACCTCGATGGGATAGTCTATGGAAGGGGCAGGTGGGGGGGTGGCAGTCATATCAGGAGCTTAGTTCTGGGCATGTGGAGACACTTATGGGACATCCAATAGATGTCAAGCAGGCAGTCTGATATATATGAATGTAGATTTCAGGGGAGGAGTCCAAGCTTGGGAGGATGACATAGACGGCTTGACAAAGGTCTGGGACCCCTTGTGCTCCTCTGTAGGTAAAGGTTTTCCACAGTAGGGGCAGAATTTGAAAGTTGCTTCAACACCTGCCACAGTCTGGACAGGAGATCATGCTTTATGGGGTCACGGTCTGGCCCTCAGACTCACTGGGCTGGAAACTCCATCTTAACTGTGTCCTTCTCAGTTGCCCCGTGAAAACTTCCACTTGAACTCTGGTAAATTTAACATTTACATAATACTTTAACTATCATATATATTCCAATTTTGTCAATTGATCCAATAATGTCCTTTATAGCATTTTCCCTACAGTACAGGATTTAGTCTACTATCAGATATTACAATTAGTTTTCATGTTTCTTTAGTTTCCTTTAGTGTCTCTTTCATGAGACTGGCATTTTTGAAGAATAGAGTTCTTTTTTTAGGGAACATTCCTCATGTTCTAGAATATGTATAGAACGTTGCTGACATTTTCCTATGATTAGATTCAGATTATGTACTGTAGTCAGTTTTTACATTTTACATCTTTTACTTGAATCAAAAAAAACCCCCCCAAAACCCACAGCAGAACCTATTATTCTATATATTATTCCAATAAATAATCTTCCAAGTAAGCATCAGAGGCATCTTCAACTTTATATCTGCACTTACACTAAAATTATCTCCTAAGCCATAACCAGTTACACGGACACACACAGCTACAACCGTTTATTTCCAACAAGAGAGAACAATCCTAGGACCTACATGGGAACGTACTTTGTGACTTTTCCTATGAGAAGAAAGAGTAGATTGATGTAGGAGTCACTCAGTCTAGTGTCTCCAATGCAGAAGGCAGCAAAGAATAGTTTAGCAGGGTTAAGTAACTTGTTCACAGTCACAAAGAAAGAAGAAACAAAACAGGGTTTGGGATGTGCTCTTAAATACTATACAAACCACAGATAACTCTGAACTAATTAGCATACAAAGGATTATTTTCTACTAAATCTGTCCTTAAGGGAAAAAAAAAAAAAGAGCTTCGAAGCAAATAATGAGACTCTTGCTGCTTTGACTAGGTCTCTGGAGAAAAGAAGCCAGTGAGAATTAAACCCCCTGACATAGAACAATCTGTTTGGGGAAAAACTAACCAAATTTGGCCTATAGACTAAATCTGGGGACAGGAGGTATTCTGGGCTTTGACCACAGTCTAGGGCTACAAAGCCATCCAGATCTCCGGATCAGGAGATTCCCAGACACCCAGTCCAACTGCACTGACTACTCTCAGGACAGAATGAGGGGTGGCTAAGCCATGCTGCTCCAGAGGATCTACTGAGACCAATCTTGCCAGGACCCTCATCCATCCAAAGGAAGTATTCCCTAGAGCCATGAGAGTTCTGCCCTGGGATCAGGAATAGAAGAATGGGATGGGAGCAGGTGACTAAAGCCCATTCCAATCTCTTCCTTCTTTATTCTAATAAATAAATAGATAAATAGATAAATAAATAAATAAATAGAACTCTTTACCTTATTTTAAAAAAACCCAAAAAACCCCGTAATGTTCAGAGTAAAAACCAAGCCCTGAGAGTGGCCCACTGGGTTCCACATTCTTTCACAACCTATCGGCTTTCTGACTCCATCTATACTCCATCCTTCATTCCCTCCAATCTGAGTCACACTGAACTCCCTCCTGATGCCTTGCACTGGCTGGTTCCGATGTCTGGAACACCCTTCTCCCAGATATACTACTGGTATATTCCAAGAACCCAGAACTGGACCTAACATATAATAGTTAATAAATACTTTTGCATGAATAAGTGATAGGAACAGAGTTAATTAAGAAAGAACTTAAAAGGTTAGGCAGAAGACAGACACGTTCTCAATATTGTCAGAATCAAAGGCTCCTTTTCATAGTCTATGTCTTGTAACATCTCATTTACTGTCTTGCAGTGAGATTCATATTTAATAAAATGTCCCCATACACAGAATTTTTAAAAAAGGATGTAATGCCCTAACCAAAATATAAAAGAGAAATAAAAGCAAGTAATTTACAATAAAAAATTATGTATTTCAATATGAATTTCACAGGACTACATTAGGAGACATAATGAAGCAATGAGATGCTTACAGCTACAGGCAGATCACTGTGGACATGACAGTTACAAATGCAGACAGACATGGATGTGCCTTACTGATGACATGTGTATATTGGTGACAGACATAGGTGTGCTGTATGGGTGGTAACTCAAACACTACAACCAGCAATGCCACTGGTCATGTGATGTTTTCATTTTTTTTTTTTTCCAGTCGTGCTGCACAGCTTGCAGGATCTTAGTTCCCTGACCAGGGATTGAACACGGGCCACGGCAGTAAAAGCGCCGAGCCCTAACCAATGGACCACCAGGGAATTCCCATGTTCTTCATGCTGATGAACATTTCTGTTTTTTTTTTCTGCAAATGGCATTTTATCTATCTATCTAGATATCTATCTATCTATTTATGGCTGCGTTGGGTCTTCACTGCTCCACGTGGGCTTTCTCTACTTGTGGTGAGCGGGCTCTAGGCATGTGGGCACCAGTAGTTGTGGCATGCAGGCTCAGTAGTTGTGGCTTGTAGGCTCTAGAGCGCAGGCTTAGTAGTTGTGGCACACGGGCTTAGTTGCTCCGCAGCATGTGGGATCTTCCCAGACCAGGGATTGAACCTGTGTCCCCTGCATTGGCAGGCGGATTCTTAACCACTGCGCCACCAGGGAAGTCCCTGGTAAACACTTCTTGATAAAGTTCAAAACTATTCTCCCTTGATTTACAATCTACTATGTAAAAACTACTTTAGAATATTATCTAAAATAGATTTATATTCTAGATTCAGAGCATTACAAACAGATCCACGGCCTTGAGAGAAAAACCAGAAGAGGGAGGAAGAACTGATACAGATTTAAGGAACATTTTTAAAAAATGGAATGTGTGGGGCTTCCCTGGTGGCGCAGTGGTTGAGAGTCCGCCTGCCGATGCAGGGGACACAGGTTCGTGCCCCAGTCCGGGAAGATCCCACGTGCCGCGGAGCGGCTGGGCCCGGGAGCCATGGCCACTGAGCCTGTGCGACCGGAGCCTGTGCTCCGCAACGAGAGAGGCCACAACAGTGAGAGGCTCGCGTACCGCCCAAAAAAAAAAAAAAAAAAAAAAATGGAATGTGTGGATCTTGTCTGGATCCTGATTCAAATTCTCAAAAAGACTTTTTTGAGATGATCAGGTAAATTTGAACATAGACCAAGTGTCAGATGATACTGAAGCCCTACTGATAATGTGGTTACATATATAAAAAAAAAAGTCCTTATTTATTAGTTACATTGTGATATATTTAGGAGTGGTATGTCACATTATTTGGGATTTGTTTTAAGTAATTCATCAATAAAAGAAAAATATATAGAGAAAAGGAAGGATGAATCAAGTGCAGCAAAACAGTTTGAAGTATGAAATGGACCCAACAGGATCCAAAGTTTCCATGTAAAGATTAATTTACTTTCAGATAATTTTAATATAGTTCTCAGAATCAATGAAATGCATGAGCACAGAGACAGAGAAGAAGACCACCAGACGAAACAAGGTAAAAACAAGACCAAATTAGTTTGGCCAGCTGAAAGCAAATTTAAATGGTTGACTCTTCACTGAGACAGATGGAGAAACTAGGTCAGAAGCCAAATGGAGTGAAATGGGGCCAATTCAAACCGAGGAAAACAGTTCATAACAGATCCAAGCAGACAAAAATGAATCAGAACTAATTAATTCATAGCTATGCCAAATAGAGAAAATTCTTGAAAAAGCTTCTGACAGAAATTTATGTGCAAGTCTGAAAACAGGCCTCTTAAGAATGCAGGAATATGCAGAATAATTTTGTATTTACCATCCTAGACAAATAATCTGTTTCAGGTTTTAAATAAATGAAGAAAAATATGATTATAATATCAAATAACCTATAAAACACAAAACGGACAGATTTAATTACACTATAAGCTTTTTTAACTTCTAGGACACAGAGAGGCCTCTCTTATTACCTTCCTCTCCTCCTTGCTCTCTGTGCTCTGATCACGCCGGCCTCCTTCCTTTCCTATCTCGGGGTCTCAGCACTGGTTGTTCCCCGGCACAGAAGAGTCTCCCACTACATCCACATATCTAACTTCCTTACCTCCTTCAAGCCTTTACTCACACCCATCTCCTCACAGAGGCCTACCCTGATCACCCACCCCTGCCTCTACACCCCGGCACCCTGGATCCCCCTTATTCTGCTCTACTTATATTTGTATATATTATACATATTTTAAAACTATGTAGAACTTATTATCCTCTAACATACATAATTTACTTATATATGCTATTTATTGTATATGTCACTATACTAGAATGACCAAAAAAATGCTTTATTGTTTTATTCAGAGATGTGTTCTAAGAGCTTAGAACATTGGCTGGCTATATGGTCAATAAATATATGAATGGAAAAATTAAGGAAGAGAACATATCCTCACCCAACAGCACTAGATTCCTAAAATTCTCCAGCATCACTTCTTTGTATAGGTTCCTCTGCTCAAGGCTCAGTCTCTTCCACTCTGCCTCAGTGAAAATCACAACCACATCCTCGAATTTCACTGGTCCCTAAATCAACCAACAAATTCATACTCATCAAGTCACCATCAATTTTCACATGGAGAATGGAACTGGCTATCCTGAAGAATCTCGCTACATAAGTAACGGATCTGAGGGTTTGCAGGCTTGGGCATTACTCCACACTTGGTTTGGTGTTATAACATGCAGAAAGCAGGACTAATCTATAAGACACACTCCTTGCCCTAAAACACTTACATTTTAATTGGGAAAATTATTTTTGAATCAATGAGAAAACATTAAAGCAGAGTTCAGGAGTATGAATGTGACAACTTATAATGGATGAAATTCGAATGGAGGGTAGAAGACAAGCTATAGAAGTAAGGAAAGGCAGCACAGAGGCAGGGCTTATACTGGGCATTAAGAAATGATGAAGATTAGAGAAAAAATAAGAGGCAACTCGGACTATAGAGAAAAATGTGAGTGCCTCATGCCAGGTCTAGAATGAGTATTTGTTAACACTGATTAAAATATATTTCTCTGAACAAAAGGAGATAGTGCTGAGGCACGCCAAGCTTTATCAAACTGTATTCCTTCAACCTGCTGGTTGATTGCCAAATTATCGGCCGCTCTGAAGGCTTACGCCTAAGAGCATTCATCAGGAGTAGACAGTTGCTGCCTGAACCAGTCATGTGTGTGGGTTCTGAGAGGTGCCTCTATGCGTGGGGTCTGGGTGAGATGGGGAGCGCAGGCAAGGAGGCAAGGTGGGGCACTGTAGTGAACCAGCCTGGTCAAGACCTACTATGGGACTTCCCTGGTGGTGCAGTGGTTAAGAATCCACCTGCCAATGCAGGGGATATGGGTTTGAGCCCTGGTCCGCAAAGATCCCACATGCCGTGGAGCAACTAAGCCCTTGCACCACAACGACTGAGCCTGTGCTCTAGAGCCGGTGAGCGACAACTACCGAGCCCGCATGCTGCAACTACTGAAGCCCTCGCGCCTAGAGCCCATGCTCCGCAACAAGAGAAGCCCACGCACCGCAACAAAGAGTAGCCCCCACTCACTGCAGCTAGAGAAAGCCCACGGGCAGCAACGAAGACACAACGCAGCGAGGCCTCTCTTATTACCTTATTACCTTACACACACACACACACACACACGCACACTCACACACAGATTTCTCTGCTTGGGAAAAGCGATTTATAAGATCCCTATCACTGTATATATTTTGACATTGCCTTTTGTAAAGCCCTCCAACCTCTCACTCAATGTGTAGGGCAATATTTGAATATATAAAATGGTTGGTAGGGAGGATGGCAAGTAGCGGTTCCTGAGAATGGCATTTCCAGTTAAATGAAGTTTAACCTTAATCTATGGAAAAATTTTTAAGGAACATATTTACACTTTATGAAACTACATCACAAGATCATCACTGTAAGAATGATATTACAGTCTTTATTTCAGAGAAAGAACACTGAGGCCCAGAGAACTTCCCCAAATGACAAGAAAACAACAGGACTGGAAAACAGTCCTTCACGGTTCCAGAGCCCTTATTCTCTTCACTGCAAGCTGTTTTTTCTTCCGTCATGCACCAGTTTTCTCTCACCTCTTTATTTCTTCCAAGTCTCAGAAACCTTGCTTCAACTTTCTGCATACTAGAACCATACCACACGCTTTCTCATCAGGTCTCTTCTTATTAGAATAGGTATATTCAGAGACATTTTCTCTCTTTAGTTATGCCTAAAAGGTGGTGTTGCCCTCAAGTCTCATGGTAGTCACCAAATTACTTACTTCTATTGAATTCAAGCATTATTTAATCCATTACCATCTGCTGCAACCTCTGGGTTGTCTGTGTCACTACTGCCTTGCCCTAGATTTTTAACTACCAAGCTCCTTCAGTCTGTGGAATTGAGGGACATGTGTACATCATTCTCAGCTATCTTTGATCACCCTGAATGCCTATTTTCTGACTTGCTTCCTCCTATTCTCAGGTCTATTTCAGTCTTCTATCTAGCCCACCTTCTAAGTGGTTTTTCACACCCTAGGAGTTGGTGATGTATACTCCAGTTCTACAACTAAACTAATTAAGCTTCTGTCACATCAAAGACCACAGCTGGGGGGCTGAGGTGGTGGACTGAGCCACAAGGTTACCAAGCCAGAGCTTCTAGGCAGTCTTGCTTCAGAGCTAGATTCTAAAATAGATTTAAAATCCAATACACAGAAGTGGCAAAAGGAGTAAAGAATAATAATGATGCTGAATTGAGAGTGGGAAACTAGGTATAAATACAGAAATCACTGGGTGTGTGGGTTTGGGGAGGGATGTCAAATACACACCCTGACAGCCCAGGCAGTCAGGCTTTGTATAGTGTAGGAGGGAAGACATATGTCTAGACAACAAGCTGGGACCCACAATTAGGCAGCCAAGACCTATGGGGGGAATGGCGTGGGGGCCCTCTCAAGCTTTCCATGACCAGCTTCTTCTGGCATATTCTGGTCCTCATATTCTTAATAATCTTTCCCCTATTCTTCTTACATCAGGTCTCACACTTTCTCTTGCTCACACCTTGTGTCTTTCATGTTCCAGCAACTTCTCCATTTCTTTCTTGCTTTCTCTTCCCCCTCTACTTCCCTCACTTAAGCATAAGACTGGCTCAGCTAGAAGGAAAGCCAGAATTTTTGCACAATGGATGTGTTAAGAACCCAACCTGCAGAACCAAATGCCACAAATCCAAATCCCAGCTCCATTACTTTATAAAATATGTAACCTTGGGTAACTTACATAACCTGTCTTAGTTTCTACATCTATAAAATGGGTTTGATAATGACATCTACTTTCAGGGTTGTTGGATTAAATGAATTAATAAGTGCTTAGATCAATGCCTGACATGAAGTAAATATTTGTTATTACTATTTATTATAATTAAGCAATATAATGTTTTATATTTAAGTGAGAACTGACTTTAAAGATAAATAATTTTTGGTTCTCAAAAAGTAATCAAACACTCCAGCCAAGGCAATAAGGCAAGAAAAGGGAATAAGAGCATAGACATTTGGTAAGGAAGAAACAGAACTGTCCCTATTTGCAGATAACATGGTTGTCTATGTAGAAAATCCAAAATAATCTACAAAATAGATCACAGAATTAATAAATGAGTCCATGAGGGCCACAAGATACAAGATGACCACACGAAAGTCAATCACATTCCTATATACTAGCAATGACCACATGGAAACAAATTAAAAACATAATGCCATTTGCAATCACTTCAAAAAAATGAGATAGCTAAAACATAAATCTAACAAAATTTGTACAGAGTCTTTATGGTGATGAAAGAAAGCAAAGATCTAACTAAATGGAGAGACACACCATGTTGATGGTTTGCAAGACTTGACACAGTGAAGATGTCAATTCTCCCCAAAATCATCTATAGATTTAAAACAATTCCTATCAAAATCTCAAGATTTTTTGTAGATACAGACAAGCTTATTCTACAGTTTATATGATAAGGCAAAGGAAGCAGAAGAACAAAGTGAGAGAGTCACTATACCTGATATTAAAATTATTACTTACTATTTGGTCACTACAATAACCAAAACAGCATAATATTGGTGGAAGAATAGACACAAATCAATGAAAGAGTACTGAGAACCCAGAAAGAAGCCAACATGAGTACATCAAATTGATTTTTGATGAAGGTGCAAAAGCAATTCAATAGAGGAAGAAGAGTCTTTTCAACAAATTGTGCTGGAACAACTGGACATCCATGGGTAAAAAAATTAACATCAACCTAAAGTCTCATACTTTATACAAAAAATTATTCAAAATGGGTATTAGATTTAAATGTAAAACTATAAAACTTTTAGAAGAAAATATAAGAGAACACCTTCAAGACCTAGGGCTAGGCAGAGTTCTTAGTCATGACACCAAAACCATGATCCATAAAGAAAAAATAAATAAACTGGACTTCATCAAAATTAAAACTTTTGTACCACAAAAGACTTCCACACCTCTTCCAGAAAACAGAAGCAGGGGGAGCCCTTCCTAACTCATCTATGAGGCCAGCATTACCCTAATACCAGAAAAGACATTAGAATACCCCAAACCAGACAAAGACATTAGAAAGGAAAACCACAGATCAGTATATCTCATGAATACAGACACAACCCCCCAACAAAATACAAGCAAATCAAACCCAAAAATGTATACGAAGAACTATACACCACAACCAGGGGGGACTTATTATAGGTTTGCAAAGCTGGTTCAACACTTGAAAAGCAATCAATGTAACTCACCTTAAAAACAGGCTAAAGAAACAAAATCAGGGACTTACCTGGCGGTCCAGCGGTTAAGACTCTGCGCTTCCACTGCAGGAGGCACGGGTTCGATCTCTGGTCAAGGAACTAAGATCCCACATGCTGTGTGGTGCAGCCAAAGGAAAAAAAAAAAACAGGAGGGTTTGGCTGGTGAAGCAAGGATTTTTTTTAGAGGGGTGAAACTATTCTGCATAATACTGTAATGGTGGATACGTGGCACTATGCACTTACCAAAACCCCAGAACCTTACAGCACAAAGTATAAACCTTAATGTGTGTAAATTTAAAAAATTCATTTAGGAGGTCAGGGGATCCCAGGATGGAATGAAGAATGTGAAAAAAATGTATTACAAATATATGAAATAACCTCCCTAAAGGTGGTGGAGAAAAAAGGAGCTAATCTAAGTAGCTTACTTTGGAAATGAGTGGCGTCTGTAGACAAAAGGAGCTACATATAAATAAGTACTATATGCTAATTGATAAAGCTGTTTTCCACAGGGGCACAGGTAAACAATTCTGAAGTCACTATACTTATAAACTGGAATTGAAAAATTAAGTGAATGGATGGTGAATAGTGGAAGTCAGGTTTCTCACTGTTGGTGGGAGGTTATAAATAAGCAAGGTGAGGAGGCTAGAATGATCCATGTGGTAATGGATTTGAGCTGGAGGCATCAGAACAAACTCATCTTTAGCTTAATATAATTACATAAAGAAATATTTATAAACGAGTATATACAGAGATTAGTATACACAATCACATTTCTTTTCTCTGTCAGCCGAGAGGGCCTGGAAGCAATGACACTCCGGTAGCAAACGGCACACCTAGCATACAGATCTTGGTTTCTAATATCATTCTCCAATGA